ACATTAAAACAAGCACTGGTACAGTTGGTTATAATAATAATTGTTTTTATTAAACCAGTCGTGTTCTCGTGATAAATGTGAGTCACTACAGTATCTTGAGATTATTCTAAGCTTTAGATTTTATATAAGATGAAAAATTATTTTATTTAAATAATCATTTAAGTAAGACGCAAGTAGTATTTCCAACGCTATGGAATTCAGTTAGTTTGCTTTTGTTGAGAGAGTTATGAGATTATACGGATCCTTTCAAAATAACCAACTGATTTTCAATAAAGGTGTATCGTAACTGAAATTTATGTGTACATTAAGTATGATCAAACTTACAGTGAGATTTCACAAAGATAAGTGAAATGATCACTGTTATTTTATGAAACATCCTATCATTTCTTTTGCTTCATATTTTTAATTGCAGTCATTTGTTTTACTATTCTATTTTTATTTCATATTCTACTCTTCATTTAAATAAATAATTAAAGCATAAAACGTATCGGCTAGTTTATCGAACAAATTTTTGTTTAAAATCATGTATTATGACCACATTTTGTGCAGTTAAGACGACGTTTAGCTTGGTTTGTTTTAGGCATGATATGAGAACATTGGTTTAAATTCATGTGATTCACTTGTGTATAATCAAATAATGACGTATGTAACCTAATCAACAGGAGATTGATAGCCCTAACCGAATCAGTACAGGACCCAATGAATAGTTACTATTATTAAAATAAGATTTGATAGATATTTAAACAAAATGAATAAGAAGACGAATCTATCAAATAAGGCAACTACGTACTAGGAACGTCAAGCTTATATGATAGAGACAAATGGAAAAAGACGTTATGTATGCATGAAGATGAATTAAACAAACGTTTAATTAATTATCATAGGAAGCATATTCTGAGTCCTCCAACAAAACAAAACTTGAAAAATTACAATGATCATGTAAATTTATTCATCAAAAGATAAGAGATTATAAAGTTAAAATCTATTGAACAGATGTATCAGTGTTTCGAAGTTTATTTGTAACATTTTTCTTTAGCCTAGAAATTGCTAGCGAATCGTGGCTTAAATAATGTCAGTTAGTTTAATTTCAACATAGCTGTTCCAAATTGTGACATTAGGAAATTTATTTCTTTAAGATAAAACAAATAAAGCTAACAATGAGAATGATTTTTGAATAATCTTAGTACTTTGGAAAGTGCGTCAACTTTTTCGAACAATAAGGTATGATATATTAAGTAGTGTATTGAAGAGTGTTTTGAAACCTTACTTTTTAAAGAGATATTGAGGAGCAAGATAATCAAATGGAAAGATAAAGTGGTTTAAGTAATTTTTTATACACAAATGGAATATCAGATTGAGACCTATTCGTAAAAAGTACAGACTCTGATTACTAGATTGGAAATTTTGTAATATTAAGTATAATAACCTGAAAACAAATCTTTAAAATGTGTTGTATGGTTTAAATAGATTGATTATACAAGATAATTCAATATGTAACGTTAGAGTCACACAAAATAATCATTAAATACTTACGTACCTAGAGGTTTTCAGAGTGATTTAGTAAAGAATTTGTATGAATACATTATGAGTTTACAAAAACGCCATCCAACTGTACATGTATTTGGATAATTAAACGAAATGCTACGTGCCAGAAATAAACTCTTTTACTGAACAGTTTTTTTCAATGGTTGACCAGACATTTACATCAAAGTCTGTGGTGTAGAAATTACCTTTTCGAACCGACACATTTTTTCCAAATTTCATAGAGAAGTAACACTTTAATTCTTGAAAGTAACTAAGTAAAATTCACATAAATCAAGTTTCTTTACTAAGTAATACTTTAAGGTACCTACAAATTGTTTTACTGAATAACAAAGATGTGTGGACAATATCGTGATCAAGTGATAAAGTTTAGCTATCACATGGACATATCGTCAATATGAAATCTAAATTTAACCACGAAGTATATGAATAACTTATTCAATTCTGTTATCTATTCATGTTTTTATATTACGTGACTACGCAGAATGAGGGAATTAATCAAGAAAAAACTGGGATATATTAAAGCAAAGAGAGAACATCGATAGAGAAAACAATGATGGAGAGCAATGGAATTTCCAGAATTTAGATTATAAAAATAATGCATCTGTGTGACTTTGATCTCTAAAATCCCAAGGATGTCAATCAGTAAGTTCTCACTTTCGTAAATGGATCCAACAAAAAGTATGTCCTGATTTGACATTCCAATATGTGAAAGTTTCTCGTTTAGGCCGATGTTAAGTCTGTAAGAATGAAGATGCCACAGGTATTTGGAGTTTGACAACGCTTTACCCAGTAACACCTAATATGAATCTTGCCCACCAAGTGAAATCAAAAGTCAGAAGCGAGGAGGTTCGAAGATATATTTGATAGGCTATCAATATATCGAGGATCGTTTGATCTAATCTGGCTAGCGATTGCAGTTGTTGAGCACGGCCTTCCCACTTGTGATCTGGTGCGGTTACATGACCGAGAGCCTTCAGCTAGGTGAGTCCATTATAACTAATGTGGTCAGCATCTAATGTCGAAAACTTACAGAGCTATTTATTTTGGGGATTTATTTACCGCTACAAGACGAAGTTGATAACTTTTATTAATAAGCAATTAATAACTGTAGTAATAACGCGTTTCCGAAAAAATGTATTTTACCAGGAATACTCAGGTTTCCATCAGAAGAGACGTAACAATAACTTAGCTTTCGTTTAATTAAAAAAATGAATATATGAGAAGTATCATTTCATAGGTAGTGTGAATCTTATGGTGTTGTATTAAACACAAGGTTAGAATAAAGTTTGTTGACAAATGTCTTTATTTGGGGAGAGATTCAAGTCAGTTGAGATTAGATTACGCTTCTTAAGATTCAACGGGATTTCTAACAACCCATATTTTCATTGATGAAAATGGACTATAATTTCGAACTATTTAAAGGAAAGATTAATCTCTGAAAATCACCAATGGTCTAAAGGGGAAATCGTCTGTGTTGACCTACTATCATATGACAAAAACTGGAATCCGAAGTAATATTTAACACGAAATGAAACGACCTATACTACCAGAGAATCATTTTATTCAGGGGAATATTTAAAAGTTAAAGAATAAAAATCAAGAACAGGTGGAACAAAACAGGTTCTAATCCTATATGACAGCCGAGTAAAACAGGGAAACATTTTGTGCAACTAGGAATGAATAATCACAATCTTGAACATAACTAATCACTTAAAATGGGAGAGTAAAATACTGTAATTTATGATTTCGTCAACAAACCATAATCAACATTAGCGTTGATAGTATCCCAGTCAAACCATAGATGTTTTTAAAGGTAATTTAAAATCCACGTACGTTAACTATGCAGTAACGGAGACTTCTTCGTAATTTGAAGTGTTTGGATTACATATCCATATGTGAAGCAAATGAGTTAGAAGGATATGATGACACATTAATCCACTGATGTACTTTAAACACAATAACTGAAGCAATTAAATTATATAAAGACTGTAAATCCAATAGTTTGCTCACATGTTTTATTGTTAGAAACAATAATCTGCACATTTTTGAATTGAATATATATCTCTATCTTCATGTAATTGGAAAAATCACCATTTAAATCCAGTTTAAGGGTTATAAAGAAAAGTTAATCACAATATGCCCTAGTAACTAATGTTTGTGAATCAAAGTGAAATCCAAACATTCGATTGAAAGTTCTATTATCCACATAGAGAACAGGAAGGATTCGAATCGAGTTTACTCTGTAAGGAAACTAAAATTTTTGGCAAAAACGACGCAAGCGACTAATTTTGAGTTTCGTGTAGGAGCTCAGCAGATGCTCATTTAATCTCCACGTTACCAGTATTGTCAAAAGTATCGCCTAATGAGATGTTACCAACTTGAAAAATCCTAGGTTTTACAAACAAATACTACATGTTTTGTTAACTCTATTTGTAGTAAGCTGCTTCAGATGTAATAGGTACGCCAGAATGTGAGTTAAGTGCAGTTCTAAGAAGAGTCGTGAGCATCGCTCCTGAAAATTTGAGTCTCAAATACAGAATCACTTGACAAAATAGGTTTTGAAATATAAGTTATTAAAAACCCGACCCGATATATTCTCTTATATGTAACAAGATTTTACATCATTAGATTCTCAACACCAGCAATAGGCATAAGTTAATTATGCATTATTAAAACTTTTGTACTTCGAAAACATATACGTTGCTAGGAATGCATTCAGAGAATGATAAAATTATTTAATAAACATTTGCATCTGGTCATCAAACGAAGTAAAATATGTATTTCGAAAGCCGTGAGAGGTTTAACCAAATAGTACAAAAGACCAGCTTGGGAAAGAACAATGGTGTTCTTAATTTAGTTCCGATTATTAATTTAATGATTCATCATCATAAGTCACAGCAAATAGACAGGCCAAATCACCTTAAAGCTAGACATCCGAATGTGGAAGTTTAAGAAATGAAACTTATAGAACTTGTGAATGTCGAAATTCTTGACCATGAGGTAGTAACTAAAACTCCACTTCAATAAAAGAGATATAGGCCGTAAGAGATCAATTAATCAATCCATCAAGTAAGTCGATGTAAGTATGGGTCTCGTGCTTGTTTTTACCAAGATGATTTGTTCAAACCAAATAATTTAGGACGATAAGCTGTTTAAATCCAATTACGGCTGGGCAATACAACAGTAAGGACGAGGCATGAAAACCACAAGCTAGTAAGAAAAGAAAGTAGGACCAGTTAATTGTCCTTGCTTACTAACATGGCATTGGCTAAGATGTTAACCAGTCCAGACTGCCTTTTTTAACCAAAGGCAGTCAAGTTCGTTTTAAGTCCTGTCACTTGTATTAGCCAATAGAATTTCAGACAACAAGGCAGTCAATAAAAAATCAATAAGCAGGTCAATGGCAATTTCAATAATTTCGATAAATTTAAGCATTAGTTTTTAATAAATATATTGGGGAAAATTTATTTCGGATTTGCTTAAATTCATCGTATGTCTGTTGCAAAGCCTATGATCCGGCAACCCCTGTCTTGGAGACCAATCGATTTTTCTCTATCCATTCACAACGCAGGCTTATATTGAATTGAAATATCTTAATCATTTGACTTCAGGCTTTCTGTTTTGCGGTTGCTAATAATTGCGATCTGATGTTTTGTTTGGATTTTGGCTTTGTATTCTTGACTTATCCTCTGAATCGAACTGACAAATAATGCGTGTAACACGATATTTGTGGATTAACAATTTACCTGATCGCGTTACTGAACAAGATATTCGTGATGTTTTACAAAGGTAGTCTATTTCAAAATCCGGAAAGTTTTTAAATTGGATATATTACTGTTTTCATTGTTGTGCACTACTGTTTCCTATGCATGCCATTTGGATTTAGGCGCACGGATTTATATTTTGCTCCGTTTTCTTTTCAGTCATGGCAAAATCCAAAGTGTTCGAATTCATGAGCACGAAGGAAATAATGGTGCTGTTGTTGCATTCGTTGACACTAAGTCTGCAACTCGAGCAGTGGAAAGCACAATACGATTAAGAAAGGTTAATCTATCTCTTCAGTATTGTGAATCATCTGGTATACCTGGAACTAACAGTTCTGATCAACTTGCTACACCATTGGATTATACTCAAACTAGCAACACTAGGTAAACTGTTTCTATGCCTATAATTAACATTAACTTATCAGCCTTTTGCAGTCGGATGTAAATTATTCACGACATAAAAGTCGATCTGTGAGTACAGTCAGTGATTCTAGTTCTGTATTTCATGATCCAGAAAACAACGAACAAACTGACACTTGGTAGTTTTCTCAAAATCCACTTAATTGACGCTTTTATTAAAATAGTTTATCACACACAACGAAACGGAATTATCCTAAAGATTTCAAAACCACTAACATGAATGCCAGTCCTCGCTTTCAAAATGAACATCGTGGATTAAAGATTAGTCATCTTCCTCTTCGTTCTTCAGACACTAATTTGCGCGAAGGGTTATTTCATGAATACAAAAAGCATGGGAAAATTACTTCGGTGTTTGTACGCGGACAAGATGAAGAGCGTATCTGCATCATCACATTCAAAAAAAGTGAGGATGCCGAGAAGGCGCTCGCATCATCTAAGGGTAAGGTGTTTTTTGGTACGCCAATATCAGTTCAACCACACGAAGGGTTAAGTAAGTCTAATATTAATAACTAGGTATGCAATTTAGGTTCTGAAGACCCTGACTTATGTCCTCCTGAACATGCTTTGAATGAATACCACCCTAAGGCGACAAAAACTTTATTCGTTGGGAATCTTTGTTCGGGTACAATTACTCAAGATGAACTTCGTCGCACTTTCCGTGGTTATGGTGAAATAATTGTAAGTGTTAACTCAATAACTATCTAATTTCAAACAGGAAATAGATATCAAGATTCAAGCGAATCAGCCAGGAACGTCCTATGCATTCATTCAATATGGGGATATAAAAAGTGTAGTGCGGGCTTTAAAAGAACAAGAAACTGTTCGCGTCAACGGGAAACCTGTCAAATTGGGTTTTGGTAAAAGCCAGCCAACGAATGTCGTGTGGCTAGATAACCTGTCGCCTACTATTAACGAGGCTTTCTTAACAAGGCAGTTTGGCCGATATGGTCAGCTGACCCATGTTGTTTTGGATAGGAAATCAATGCGAGCTCTTTTATATTTTGATAATGTTGAGGTTGCACAGCATGCAGTAAACGAAACTCGTAATCGTGCTCTTGTTGGTCGTAAGGTTCAAATTGATTATGCTGGATACGAGTGTCAAGTTGCTTTCATGAAAAAGCTGTCTAAGCATGATAGTTTTGGACAGGTTTACGAAAACTATAAGTGAGTTTCCTGACTTACATTAGATTCATACTTTTTGTCAACATCTTACTTATGTTTGTTTCTTGTCTAGGGAACGGTTGCAAGAAGTGTTGTCACTCCTGCCTTACGGAAGTGTTATCCCTTATCTCGGGGATCGACAAAGGTAAGTTGGAAATCTAATGATCAGACAGAATCCATTAAAATGAAGGATACTGCCATGCATTTATTTGTGGCGTTTTTCCATTAGATAGATTTGTGTTTGTTATAATTAATCCGAAGGGAATTACATTTGTTCACAATCAGTCACTCATAGTAGATATAACCTGGCTGTTGTAAACTTCTTGAAAATTTTCAGTAGCGATGTAAATTACGGACTATGTCGATGGTTTATAATTAGTTTTTGCACTCGCATTGTGTACTCATGCTGTTCAACCACGTAAAATGTTATTACAGATTAGGAATACCGTGATCTAGCCATAGTTCTTAATTGTCATCTCATTAGTTCACTTCAGGAAATCTAGGCACTTTTTATAACATCTGAAACGTAACATCGATTCATCAAATGAGCACACTTTCCAAATTTATCCAAACTATGTAAGTACGTAATATCCTAGTTAAATATGACAAAATAAGTATTAATTGGATTCACTAAAGTGGGTTCTATTAAGGGTTGTTTCTGGCACAAATGGTATGTTTAATATACTGACGAACTTAGCTTGGGGATATGTGCACTAATTAGTTGAACACATCGACTACTTATCGTGGGAGTTTCGACAGTCCCGATGGGTTAGTGTCTGACGAAATTTCGATATTGATTCTGGGTGGTCACCTGACTTGACAACTTGCGTCACTTTTGGCGTCGGCGAGATGTACGTCTACAAATCGAACGTTGATTGTACGGGGTGGTAATTGGTGTTTTACTTTGTGGTTGTGAATCGTGTTCTGTAAAGTGGTCACCAATATGTTTATGGGTATCTTCGAGGCACCACTCGGGTATTTTGATTCCGATGAAAGAGGACTGCCGTTAGACTCAGGATATTAATGAATGGTAGCAAATCACACGTAATAGATATTCCCGAACGTCATCCATTTCGACGGTTAACGTTAGCTAGTGGAGTAGGTTGGAAGAAGGTTAGGGGAGGCCAAATCAAAATGTATTAGTTCATGAAGTCGCTAACTGTTGGAACCATATTATCAAATGCTGATCCCTCTTAGTTGGGACTGTGATTATTTGCATTTTCGCTCCTTACATACGTCGCGTTAACCACTATTAATATAAACATATCTGTAGTGGTCGAACCAATAAAAAGCATCAGTCCATTAAATCATAGACTATTGGTCTGAGTCGTATCAGAAAGTTCAGGTTTTTTTCAAATAGCAGGCTAATAGTAATCTTTCTGGAAACTTATTTATATGACCGTCCTATAAATACTGAGTTTATTTTCCATTTATTATCCATTCCCAGAAATTCGCTCTTTATTTGATTACTCTTTTCATCGACTCAGTTAAAGACAACGTAGAGCCTGGTCCATGCACATCGTTTTGAGTTGCATACTTCATTAACATAGCGTGATAAAATTTTCAAAATGAATCTCAGTAGTAGAGATAATAACAGTATTTATGGTAATCGAAAAGGTTAAACATCGGAGGTACGGTTCGAGGAAACATAAGCTAATTCAATTTACAGAAATTGTTAAGAATGTGGACTTAAGGGAAGACAATGTGTGAACGAACCTGCACCTACAGTCTAACGACTTTGTTATGTTAATCATGCAGACTCTAACTAGTTAGTTTTGGGCTTACCTACATAACTTAGAACATATGTCAACAAAATTTATCGGGCGATGCTGCGTTTTGATTTGGCCTCCCCAGGCTTTCTTCCAACTTATCGCACTAGTAAGCATTGCTCTTCAAAGTGGGCGATATTTCGGCATGCGTAATACATCCATCAATTATGTTGGTGAATATTCATTAATTCATCACCCGATTCGCCATTCTTACTACTTCATGCCTAGTCTCAACGTTGTCACTTAGGCGACAATTCAAAGACAAATATAATCGAATACTAGTATTTTGCAAATACCCTGTCTTTAAAGGCCACGTTTCACATCCAGAAAGTAGAACAAGGCTAATTGCTGTATGTTATGCTTCCATCTTAGTTGGACGACGGATATCTGAGCTACGGCACAAATGACGCAAGTTGTTAAGTTCTAACTGAGCTTTCTGAATGGTTTCGATTTTTCGTCAGGCACCATTTCACTAGGGCTGATGAAACTTTTAGGTTAATTAAAGTGATAAACGCACCCAACTACTTCACTCCCTATCATTAGTTTAGGTGTTGAAGTAATATTTAGAGAGAGAGAACTAAATCCCAAAAGTGCTTGACCTGTTGCAAAAGACTACATATCAGCGTCTTTATCTAACAGAACTGTTATGTATACTCTAAGTCAACGAGTGAATCTTGTAGTGGAAGATCAGTCCTTAAGAAGTTCGTCTACGTAAACGTTATTTCTTCAAGAAAGTTAAGGTAAAGTGGACGATCCCAACTTGAGGCTGGGAATTCTGATGACAGTCCACTACAAATTTTGACCATAAGTAGTGTTCGACCAGATAACCTGTACTATGTTAATGTACTTAGTTATGCCTTCAAATGACAAGCACTACCACAAAACCTTTCTATCAACAGAGCTGAATACTGCCTTAAGGTCGAAAAATACAGTCGTGATCGAAAGTTGGTTGGCAAATTTGTGTTCCAGAACCTGATGAAGAACATATTTGGTCTACACGTCCTCTCTCAGGTTCAAAACCATTCTGATCTGTGGTTTGTTTTTCACAAGCTCTAGTCAAGCATGTGACTATTATTAAAGCTAGTGCTCTAAATATCATATTAATCATACTGATTCCTCTGTGGTTGTAACTTATACTTGTAAACTAGAACGATCAGCGATCTAGACCAGTTGGAAGGGATTATGTTCGATCCTCAGATCCTAACTTAGATCAATCGAGGTGCTAAAACCATCATCTTTAAAAATACTGAGCTAATCCATTTAGACCTGCTGCTCTCTCTTGTTCTTGGTTGCCTATAGATTGTTCGACATAACTAGAATTTGGAGGGTGTACGTCAGCTTACCAGTCAGGCTGGTTTGAGATGGTGTGTAAATAGAGTGTTGTTGAAGGCCAGTTGAACTATTCCCCAAAGTATTTTATTCTTCGGTTCAGTCTCCTGGATTGAGTAAACTTTCCGTAAAGCTGAAATACTACGGATTCCATATATTTCGTATTTACTTGAACTCGTTATTACATAAGTCCTCATCTTCCCTAAATCCCAACTGTAATCACTTACAGCTCTGTAAATGAATGGTGTTGAGAGCATTTCGTAGTGCAACCACAAGATTAATTTGAATTTTATTAATTATTCGACTGATTGTCTTAGGTTAGCAGTCTATCTTAACTCATCTATGTAGAAATCTTGTTCAGATGACGTTTACTTTTTGTTTCAAGGTATTTTGGTGACAACCAACGGGATCATTTCGCAAGTGGGAATACAAAATTTTCCTATCGCAGGTCAAATTGTCTCCGTAGTAGTCCAGTAGATCATTCTATGAAGTATGAACAGTCTTCTAATAGAACTAGGTGCGGATCATCGGTCTCTCCACACGAGCGGTCGCATCAATCATCTGATCGCAGACGAACTTTCATTACTAGTTCTCCCGATGACTCAAAGATATCTGGTAACTTGATTTGTTCACATAGTAATCGGAACTCACACCATGGGAAATCCGATACAAAAAATGTGCAGAGCGAGGATAGGTCAAGTCTTCTATCTCACAGAAGACATCAGCATAATCAAATTCCTATCAAATTAAAGTCATCTCGTTACTTATCTCATACTGAAGGAAAATCTAATCTTAATTCTCTTACACACGTAGATCAGTCAAACTTACGTAGCAGGGGGCAGCTTCTTGAAGAAACAGATGATATCAGTAGCGGTTCATTTTCCTCAGACTTTACAAATGATGATAGCTTTTTTGAAACTTCTTTAAAACATAGCAACACCAGTTCAGAGTGCTCAGCACCAATGTCTAAATTACCGTCACATCTGATTCGTGACCATGTTTTGAACATCGATAAACGAAAAAATGTAGATACTGATTTTCCTCAAAAATGTTCCCGCTCAAATCATTATGAGATAGAATCCCTTGATGAATCTTCCTACTCATCAAGTAAGAAATATACTCAGAAGGCAAGAGAAAGTGTAAGTCCTCATTCTCGAGTTGCCTCAACGCGATTGTCCGTTGGTAGGTCTCGGACATCATCTCAACACCGCTCTCATTGGGCTATTGATAGGAATTCGAATCTCAGGCAGAGTAGTCAGGAATGTCTTGAAGAAAATACTGACCAAAAGCACAGTAATGCTAGTTTCTTTTCACGAGCCCGAACGTTACTGAAACTCCCAGATGCTGATTCTTCGAGTCCAAATTACTCAACAAAGTCTAAGCGGATTATGCTTTCGAAAGTTGCGTCGACATACAAGGATGTTGAATATTCTGGACGAGCAAACACTTCTACTGTAAGTCCCATATCACCCGATGATGCACCATATAATGAATCAGAGGGAGCTTATGGACGTATTACTAACAGCGCCTGTTCTGATATTCCGATTGGAGTTAAGTCTCATGATACTCTTACAAAACTTGAAATGGAAAGAGCGAAATTACTGAGAGAACTTTCTCTATTAAATAATGAAGTAATTGGTGGAAGCAGAGGAAAAACAGGCAGCGTTACAATAAATATGGGTAATTCCAATAGAAAGCGCGCCCCGTCCTCCTTGTTTGTTAATGATATTCCTTCACCAAAGTTAAAGTGAGTTTTCAAATTATGATCGGTTTATTATCTTTAGCTTGGTTTATGTATTTTAAAAGTAGAAAGTATCAAAACTATTTATTTATTTGAACACAAATATTGGTACAAAGGGGCACCAATTATATATGCGCAACACGAAGCATCAAAAGCTAACACATATCCAAGACAAAAGTTTATTTGAATGCGATTATTGCTGTTCTCGGTTCGTATCGCATTATGATACAGTGTATCCAAAATGTTCATCATTTTTTGTAATTTAAGGAGAATGAGCCAGATAAATATGGCTAATAATAAGTATATCGTTGTTGTAAATAGGTAAAATTTCTTATTCATTGATATAGACTATCGGTTATCAAAAAAGGGTTCACAAATTAGTTTGTAATCGTCTCGTTATCGGGTCACACAATGAACAGGCTGTTTGGTATGTTGAATTGATTTCATTGACATTTAATCAATTTACACATCTTTAGCACGAACTGATACTGGTTCAATAGTTGTTGAAAACAATGGCCACAGCACCAACTATTTAAGTTAATGATTCCTTATTTGCTTACATCTTCTACCTTGTATAAGATTCAACCCAGAAATTCTCACTTCATCCACTCTTTGTGTTTACTATGATATGGTTACTAGAACGAAGGAAGGGAATAAAAACATTACTTCGGAAGTAGTATGCTCCTGAAAATATTTTATAAATCTGAGTCTGCATATTTGTCTCCTGCGAAGTTGCGTTTATTTATTTATTTCAACACATAGATCTTGGTACAAGGAGGCACCAAATAAATATGCGCCACACAAATCTCATTCGATGTGTGAAGGCTGTGATACTGCCCGGGTGCCCAAACCGAAGCAGGTGGTTTTCTTAGGGGGCCACACCCCGAGCCTTCGACCTGAAGGTCTGATCCACAAGGCAGTGGAGCATCGTTAGGAGATGCAGTCCCATGGAAGCCGGTGACCAACAATTGGTTCATACGCCATTTGTTCCCTCAGGATATTGGAGCCCATGTGTACCATTGGTTTGTGATCCGGTTAAAGCGCCGGACATTCGCTTTTCGTCCTCTCATTTTCGTAAACAACACCCCCGCCACGAGAAGGCAGTGAGTAGGACTTCCCTGGCAGAGGCTATATACGCGTGGTCATGTGAAAGCATTTGGAGAGGGAGAGAGGACTCCCCCCCACTCTGAGCCGTACCAGGGCATTTAGGGGCTGCGAAGTTGCGTAACAGATTTACTATAGTAATGAGAAGGTCAGCTGAAGTTCTTACTACTACTGTTTGTTTATGATATTGAAGGCAAACGTGATGTAATTGTGGCTCGTTGCATTTTCCCGGTTTCTTAGTTTTTCATCTCTTATGATGTAGTGTCCTCATTATTTGGAAAACTTACTCGGTTACGATTTTCTCAGAAAATAACACCAGATACTTGTTATTATGACTTCCGAAATATTTTAAACTGTTTCATCGTTTTACACGTAATAGTAAAATTCACTCTAGATCTCTTATATTTTAGGTGCGTCGAAAATAGCAGTAAATGCGAGTTAGTATCCATTCAAAGTCCTACGCTCACGAGTGATAATTTGATAAGTCCTGGATTTCGGGAATCTGTTTCCAGCTCTCATTCTATTAGACTAATAACAGCTTCACACGATTCTAAGTCTGAACTTTCTGGTTCTAAACAGGGTGTTGTTGATAAGAATGTTTTAGCTTTGGCGGTTGATAACCATCTGAATACTAGTGATGTTGCGTCATCCAGTCGGCGAAACCATTTATCAAAAACTGCCCAAGGTCATGATTTTCAAAATATACATAGTAATTCTAGATCCGAAACTGTGTTTCCTGCTATCGTCACTGATAGTTTAAATATGTTGGGCAGTCGGCAACCTGCTTTAATAACGTCATCTCCAAGGATGGCCATTGCACCCGAATCCACATCACCGATGATACACATTTCACCTCCTAGTTCACCAATGATAATGGGTAAATCATCGTATGCTTCAACACTAGGCACTTCTCTTTCGTCTTCTGTTTTGACTGCTTCAACTTCCGGATCTATCATATCTTCTCTTGCAAACTCTTCTAGTAGAGATCCGCGTTTGGCTTTTCATCATACTCAGCTCTCCAATGATGTTCCTCCACCTCCTCCAGAAACTTTCAAATTACCTTTGTGGGTCGATACCTCACCTCATACAGAGATCATGATTTCCAATTCACTAACAAGTTCTGTCACGAGAACACAATCTCCTCACTTCTCAAAATCTCTTTGCGATGTTGAATCTGATGTCTCTATTCAGGACCCAAGCGGATGTTCACTAGATGAGCGTATTCGACTATTGGATGTTCAACTTATGAAGTCGGAAAAGGCTAGACCTACCGTAGATTATAGTAAATTTCGCATCAGACGTAAAGCAGAATCCAACTCAACTCCTCAATCCACCCAAATTAATAATCCAACGCAGTGTACTACTGGTGTGTCTGTTACTTCTTGTACACCTCACTCACCTGTTTTGACTTCGACATATTCGATTACCACTCGCTGCGAACTTGGAGTTATAGACATGATTAATTCTAGCCTACCTGTTTCTTGTACATCTAATATTGGATCGACTTCTCCCATTCTCTCTAATTCAACACTTTTAAATCTGGTCAAACCAGCTGATACCTCGGAGTTTGTCAAAAGTATGCTCTCCTTCTCTAAGCCATCTCCTTCGACACCTTGTGATACATCCAACAATATGTTCTCAAACGAAATAGCAACTACTAATCGACATACAGTTTCAATTCCATTATGTCAGAACTCGTTTCTCACACGTTTGCCTCGATCATGTGTTAGTAATAGTTTATCAGCAACCAGTTTTATCCAATCATCTGTTTCTTCCTGCGGGAAACAAAAAAGTCCAAATAACAATCGTATTCACTCTAATGTTTGTAATGTGGAGCATAGTTCATTGTCTGGGGCTCAACCTGTTGGTGTGGCCACTAGGATGCCGTCAGTAAAGCCTTTTTGTGGGTCAGATGTTTTAAAACCTGAAGATAATTTGGTAGGAAAAGGTGACACTAAATTCAACACGTTAAAAGAAAGTGTCGATTACGTTGAGAAGTGTGAACCTGTGATTTTATCCCATTCACTCAATAACACCTCAACAGAGTTTAACGCTAATCTTTCGTCTTATGTTAACGATAATCAAAAGTGTGTTGATGTGTCCAATAAAGTTGGTGTGCATGGTGTTTCCCCTCTTTTGGGATCATCTAATGATTTTTATAAAACCAGTCAAAAAACACCAACTTACCAAACCATTACTTGCCAAAAGTCTTCACCACGAGACGATTTTGTAAGTAGTAATAAATGTAAACCGACCTCCCTCTTGAATATACCACTTGCGAATGTAAAGAAAGCACAAAAACATGATCCTGCGAAGCCTATCTTGGATGACTTTGTCTTTCAGAATTCTTTGGTAGGTAGTATACCTAAAAATAACCAACTCAAAAAGCCGCACCCTGATACACCTAGTTCAATATTACCTACAAAACGAAAACCATCTACTACTTCTGAATCGAAAGAAATAATACCAGCCTCTAATGCAGACAAAACAGTATCGGGGAACATATCACTGACTAAAAGTAAAACTCAGAAGATTCCTTGCCAAAGTGTTTCTAAAAAACTAGGATCAGCATCTGAAAACAGTTTCAAAAAGCATTCTGTTTTAAATAACAAACTCCAATTGACTACTGACGGTAACCAGTCTGTATTCAGCTCTAACAATCGTTCTTTGTTTTGTCCTGAGAAAAAACCCGTTTCACCTCATTCTAAGAAAAGAAAAAGTGTCCGGGACTTCAAGAAGAAAGTTATTGATAGTGAGGATTCTGATTGGGAGCCGAATACAATTAATAGTTCTCAACATCAATCGGGCGAATTACTTGACCCAGATTCCTCATCAGAGTCTCGCTACGAATCGATGTATGATAAGATTAAGCGCAGAACTAACCAAAGTACAGCAAAATCCACTGACTCTCTTGTGAAGCCAGATGTTTTACAGCGTTTATTAAAAAACAAAAGTAAGGAACCTAAAAAACCGAATTCGCACAAGTCTCTAGCTGATTCCGATACAGATGAATGTTTGAGCGATGGTTCATCAATTCACTCTGGTGATGCTTCTAATCCAGTTACTAAACGCACAACAAAGACAAATTCTTTATCGAATGAAATAGGATCAAAATCTGTGAAGCACAAAGTCCCAACTACTAGTAGGGCTAAATCACAAGCCATCTCTTCTGTGTCACCTAAACGGAAGAAAATTGTCACCGACTCCGAAGTGTCTTTATTAAAGGAACCTTCACATAAAGCTAGAGGTCGAAAAGCGAAGAAATCTAACATTTCCAACAAAGCACAGTCGCTGACTGCTCAGGTACGACGTAATAATAAGAGCAGTGAACAGCAAGGGCCTGTAACTACTTTGAATTACCGATCAATTACTCGTCGCAAGAAACCTTGCGTAAAAGAAAAAAATGTTTCCGCACATGAGAACGATGGTAAAGTTATTTCGGGGCGCGTAAATTTAACAGGTCGATCGAAAACACAAAAGCAGAAAGCTATCTCAGCTGTAAACAAGCAGCTTCTTTCTATAAAGAATACCCGTCGTAGCCTAGTTCGTCGTGTATTTGCTTCTACAGACTCATCTTCGCTTTCATCTGTAATATCTGAATCTTCTGATGATGACTTGTCTAATAACCAGGTTTCTGATTTGTCCGTGAAAGAGGAAGTAAGTGCGACGGAAATTACCCAAGAGAACAATTATCAACCCATCAAATCCAAGTCTCCCACGCTTCAACTTAGTCGTTCTTGTAGTCCCGAAGATCTGCGGGCAGATGCAGCAATACGTCATACTTTCGGAGCTTTCACTGCACCATTTATTTGTTTTAAAACTGATCCATCGCATACTTCAGCTATCAGGCACAATGCTCCTCAAAGTACAGATGTAAATGTAAAGTTTTCACCAAGTTCTGAGGATTCAAAGCCGACACCGCCCACACTCCCAATGACTGATTCAAGTTTCAGTGGTGATCAACAGTCTAATGGTATCTCTGCTGCTAAATTACAAAATCGTGATCACAGTGATTGGAACATATTTTCTTCGTTAGCCAAACAGTCAACTCCAATAAAAGATGATAATATACACCAAAATTTATCTTCGGCTTCTGGGCTTGCCGCTGAAAGTAATGAAATTCCAGTAAATTCTACTGTCGAAACTTCGTATGATACAGAAGATGAGTTGCCATCGTTAGAGAAGCATGATGATGATGAAGTAAGCATTCCATATGAATCATCTATTTTACTCCATGAAAGTGATAGTCTTAATAATCGTGCTGAAAGCTTGAATGGATATAATGATGATGATTTACCTCCTCCAGTAGTCTCGGATATTGATCACCAACTCAGCTATTCAGATATGCCTGTAGTTGTGGGGACTGTCCCAGATATTATAGAAGAAGTTATTTACGATGGTTTGGAAGTGGCTGTTCAAGAAGAAAGTCATCCTGCAATAAATAAATCTATAAAAAAGAGTGACTCGTGTAAAAATTCTCCCAAGTCGTTGTCTGGTTCTTCTAGTATGATAGAATCAACCGTAAAAACAGGATTAGATCAAGCTTTAGTGGACATAACTGACTCTCTTCATATTGATCTAAGTAGTGTGACTAATAATTTTTCTCCAAACGTGTTATCACCAATTACTCTTCCTGTTATCACTTCGTCGTCAAACAGCGTGTCTGTTCAACCAACTGTATTTACACCCGTCTCTGCGCTACATGTTACCTCACAACCTTATGAAGTACAGACTATGAATCAATCCATGTTGGTAACCATCTCTTCGGTGTCCTCTACTAATTTAAGTCCATCTAACAGTGCACCATGTGCTGATGAAGAAGCTTCCATATCACAACCTTGTTCATCTGTACAATCTAGTCTCAATTCTAAACCTCAACATCACATTGCTGTCATACTACCAACAACCACCGTATCGTCTCCGGGAAGTTCAATTGTAACTGTGTCTTCTCTCATGCCAGAATCTTCTACCAATGTGACCACCATTTCATCTGTTATTAAGTTGGAAAGTTCCTCATTATCAATAACTTGTTCATCCACAACTGCTTTAAATGGTCAACAGTTACAAAACGTGACTTCTCATCCACCAACTACTGGAATTACTAACCCTATTGCTGTTGCTGCTTCATTAGATAATACTGCTCCTACATCTCATACTTGTTTATCATCAGTTTCTCAGTCCTGTAATACAACCTTTGATCCATCTGATTACACTTCGTATGTCCAGCGTGTAATTGAACGTGTAAAGCAAGAAAAAGATGAAGAAATATTACAGCAAAGAGAGAAAATGAGACGTCCTAAAAGAAATACTTCTGTTTCAACGCCTTCTATGGCAACATCTACAACTACGAATCACATTAATACTTCTGCTACTGTCACCTGTTCTGGAGTTTTATCCCCAACACCTATAAATCTACCAAATGTAGCTCCTATTCCAACTGCTGATGTACTTAAACCACCAGTTGTGGTTAACATTGATGATAAAAATGTGACAATTCCTATGTGCGTTGCAAATAACTCAATCGTTGTTCAAGACTCATTCTCCCGTATTGTTAAGAACGTAAACAGTCCGAATCCTCAATCCGCTAACATTTCAGAACCACCGATTACATCTTCGCACTCTGAGCAACTCGCTGTAAGTGCCTCCACCGAACAAAATCCTTACGTGCTTGGATGTAATAACTTGACTGATGACATTCATTCACGAGATCCAGTCGATGAAACGATCGAAGCTGTTGTAAATGGAGAGTTTGACGAGAAAGAATATGTACTGAAGTTATCGAAGGGCAACTTTACTCCTAATGGCCATTGTCATACCTTATCCGGTAGCATTGGTTCTCCTTCCAGTCATCCTGATATTTTCACATTGGTACCCGATGATTCTGGAATAAAAAGCGATTATCACCAATCTGGTGTTTCAGAGGCTGTTTGTACGCGATCTAATAGCTCTGTAAGTTGTTTTTGAGCTGTCAGTTAAAATCTCTCCGCACATTAAATCTAGCTTGAACACTTTTTCAGTAGTAAGGAATTAGCTTCAGAACCCTACTTTAAAAAATTATTTAGCTAATGTTTTTCTGATATTTTATCGTATGGTTATATTTTACTCATGAATTTTGTTATGAATTCAAGTTTTAGTTTATCGAACTAAACCACTTGTGTAGACTTGTTGATATGTATGACAGAACTAGTTTTGGAAAGTCTCAGCAGACAAGTCCATAACTCACATTATATATAACCATTAAATATTTTTTCTAACTGCCCAAATATCGGTCTGTCAGACGGCAAAATTTAGTGCTTAGTACCCTTAAGAATCTGTGGCATTAATATAATTGCTTTCATTTTCGTATCTAACTTTATGTTTATAAATACATTTTATTTAAAATGATTGCTATGTGTGTCTAACATGGATTACTTCCGTGTTATGCCCAGTAGTTAGGTAGTCAAACGTATCTATAAGTTTCACCAGTATAGACCCGAGACCTATAGTGCTCTGTGTTGAAGGAGTTTCGTTAGTCTAAACCTTGAACTAAGTTTTGTTAAAGTTGTTATACTGAACATTAATGATCTTGCTTTTGCAATCAAGTTTTCTCTCACCTACATTATTGTTTATTCAACTGTAAAGGTGTAGCCAACAGAGAAGTAGCTTCGCGTTTAATCCCACCTCCGTCACAAGCTTTGGGGTGTAACCCACTATGAAAGCCACGTGCTTCAGTTTGGGCACCTGGGTAGTATCACGTCGCTCACACATATCAATGATAACTATTCTGGCCTCATTGTTATCGTGTGGCGCATATGTATTTGGTGCCTCTTTGTACCAATGTTTATGTCCAAATGAATAAATAATAAATTCGCGTTTAATGCACAGCCGCATCTCACTTTGTGAATCAATTTTGATAGCATAAACGAGTGTATACATATGTCTGGTTCTACGTTGGGCATGACTGACCAACTGTTTCGGCTTTTAATCATTGGTTTACATGTTCGGATCTTTATCATCTTCTGCTCGGGAGCCAAGTATCTGACTATGTTTTCTGGTATAGTATGTTGAGTGAAAGCTAGGAACGACCAAACTAAGACGTGGCGTCAGTTCATGACGTCATTGAATGTTGTTCTGAGCCTTTTTAGTAGGTTCAGGCTACTTGGTTGGGGTCCGCGCGATAACAGAGATCTGTGGCTGAATATTTCAGGTGGCTTTGCTCAAAACCGTTCACAATGGCGTAGACGCATCCATTCATCATCTTCCTCTAGATTTCAAATCCCAGTATTCATATAGACTTATCTTCTCTGTCTTTTGAATCCTATCTTCAATGCTGAGTCTTTTGCATTTTCGTTTCTTCTACATTATTTTCTGTTTTCTTGTTATATATCTTCTCGATTTCATCTCGTAACTAGTCAACGCAAATCTTTTCCAGGCCCTACGTTAATGATGACTAGTTAGGCCTCGCACTGATAAATGGGTCTCATAGTCTATTAAATAGACGCGTACTTTATTTATATTAATTGTTTAATTTATCCTGTGGATGTTTAGGATTGCTTCTGTATTGCCACTAAGTTACAGGCATTATACGCAGAGTTAGATGGTCGGTAGCAGTAGGACCCAGGACACGTATCTCATCCTATTTAGGGCCGGTCGGCTGGATGTACTTAGGTCCCGACCAGTGGCTATCTGCACTCAATAACCAGATGGATAACGCGATGACATTTGAGGCAAACGGCACTGGGTTCAAGTTCCGGATTGAACGTCAACTCTGGAATGCAGGTACATCCAGCTTACTGGTCCCTAATAGAACGAAACGCACAACCTTGATTTCACTGCTAGCCACCGTCCAACTCTGCTCATAAACGTTCACTTTATTAGTGAAATGGGACAAGGTGAGATGCGCTATCTTTAGGGTCGACTTTTTCTATTCTTCTTACGTTGCTAGTTTTTTTAATCAAACACCTTACTGCCGTTACACCGCAGAACAGTTCGCAGTTTGGATCCTCATTGAACTTTATTTTTGCAGCGTTTAGCTTTGTCTTTCTCCAGTCTACTGGTCGAGCATAGTACGATCTAAAGAACGAGTATTCTAGCTAATATAGCTCAATGGAGTCATCGCGATAGGCAGACTGACCACCACGGTCGAAGTTTTCGGCACATTAATTTTTACGTATGACCCGAAACTAACGACCTTGGAGTTAGTTGTCCAGGCTACAATCCCCTTTCTCGCAACAGTTTTGCAACCTTTTGTTCGTTAAAAATTAGGTGGCTATTTAAGTTGTTGAGTAAAGTTGAGCAATTAATCACTTGAGTCCACGTGAATAATTGCTTGAGATATCGAAATTAGTGGTTGTCGGAAGGTTGCGAAGGTCTTAATCATAGCCATCTTGGAGAAATATCTTAATGTTAAACTCTAGTAAAGTCAATAACATAACCCTACAATTGGTTTTGAAATCCACTATTTCCTTTTATTGACGTGTTGTAAGCATGTTTTTGAGCAATATTTCCAACCGACATAGCTGGAGAGGATCATTATACCTAGTAAACTTAAATTCATCCCCAAGTTTTTACCTATGATTCAACTTATATTATTCATCAAATAAGGTTTGTTCGTTATCATCATGACGATAGTGACCAAAATTTTCGAATCGCCATTCCTCTCGTAACTCGTGAGTGCCAGTACTTAAGACAGTATATATTAACCTCTTAGGTTTTTGTGTTGGGTATGATATTGTAAGTAGGGCTCTTCAATTTGAAAGCGTTATGGATAAAACACTTGCCTCTCAACAAATATGCCGCATATTCAAAGTCCACTTTACTGACGTCGTTTCAGACATCAGGTAATATCACTAGCCCTCACACAAACAATATGTAGTTGAAGTGAAACCCGTACTTTGTAGATCAGGTCGTAATAAGAAATGAGAAAATTTTAGCTCACACTGGTAACCAAGTGTTTAGTATTCTAGAAAATATGGAGATAGGGAGTCATCTAATGTTTGCAAACCCAATTTCACTTTGTCCTTTAGTTGATTTTATCGTTGTCCATCATTCAGTGGTTTAGTTATTAAAGGAGTTCGAACATCGGCTGTTAAACCCCTAGTTCAAACTCCGCTTCGCTTTGATTTAAGCTACCGAATGGTATCATAAGTCCTCCTATTTAAAATTTAACTTATTTTGATCATTTATAAATGTTGCGTTGTAGATAAAGTCTAAAGTATTTCGAGACGTGTTGAAAATATTTGAACATTTTTCCTCGATGATTGATAACCACTCTACGATACTTATTTTATGCGTATTTTTTCGGTTCTCTTAATGTACTTACATTTTTGTGGTTTTGTTTGTTCTCAATATTTTCATTTTAGGCTGTCAACATCTGTGTTGACTCTTCGTCCACCTTGTCTGTTAGCAAGGAGATTACTGATTCTATTATTTCAATGAATCATTCTTCAGCAGTTTTAACGCCTATGCATGTATTGACGTTTGTTGCAGCTGGTGCCGCAACATCGACGTCCCAACATGTACCCACTTCCACCGCAATAAGTCCCAACGTTTCGTCTCAATCATCATCCAACCTACCGACTTCTACGCATAATTTACCATCGATTTCCAATCCATCTAGTTCTACTTTGGATAATATTGGTAGTATGACTCCGCTTGCAGCATATACACCTATCCTGAATTCTTCTAATTCACTGCCTACCGATTCAACTAATACTCGAATTGAAGAGTTTGCAGCTCGATTTGCTAATAATCCTTTTACGACGTATTTCTATTCTTTGTTAACACAAAAACAGCTTAGTCCATCTCTTAGCCCATCGATCTCTTCTGCTGATTCTATCTGTCAGCGTTCAACTGACAATATATCGTTGCCAATATGTTCATCTACAAAACTAAAAAACCTGTCTATTCCAAATGCGTCTGTTAGTGGAGACACAGCGGACTATCTAGCTGCAGCAACAATGGCTGCTATGGCCGCTATGACTGGACCAACTCAAGATATGACTTCGTTTGGTCAAACTGTAGCTTCTGTATCTTATTCTGATACGAAACCGATATCATCAGATAACCAGTTCCTGCACATGTCAACTGCACATTTAGGAATACAAGTGAGGTTTTCTCAAAAATATTTTTATGTTAAGATTATGTGGTTTTCCATATTCTGATAACGTTTATCATTATCTTACGTTTTGGCTTTAGAGATAACACTTTCCTCGTCTAGACTTTCAGGGGTTGAACTTCTACCGGGAGGTTCACTTGTCGACTTAGAATATGCTGATGACATAGTTTTATTTGGTGAGGACGCTGACAAAATACAGAGTCTTCTGACCACTCTGAGCATCAATGCAAGCATGTTCGGGATGCGATTCTCCCCCTCGAAATGCAAAATGTTGCTTCAGTATTGGGTTACTTCGACACCCGAACTAATGATAGGGAGTGAAGTAGTTGAGTGTGTCGACCGCTTCACTTATCTTGGAAGTCTCATCAGCCCTTGTGGTCTGATGTGTGACGAAATCTCAGCACGGATACAGAAGGCTCGACTAACTTTTGCCAACTTGCGTCATTTATGGCGTAGGCGAGATATCCGTCTATCAACCAGAGGGCGTGTTTACTGTGCAGCAGTTCGTCCCGTCCTACTTTATGGCAGTGAAACATGGCCGGTAAGAGTAGAGGATATTCGTAGGTTACTAGTATTTGATCATAGATGTCTTCGAAACATTGCTCGTATATCATGGGACCATCGAGTAAGTAACACAGTTGTCAGGAAACTAGTACTAGGTAAGGATGGCAAATCAATTGATGAAGTAGTGAAACTTCATCAGTTGAGATGGCTGGGACACGTGTTACGTATGCACAGCGACCGACTGCCTCGATGAGCGATGTTCAGTGGTATAGGAGTAGGTTGGAAGAAAGCTAGGGGCGGCCAAACCAAAACATGGCACAAGTCCATGAAGTCACTGACAAGTGGACTGAGCCATGTTGGTAGGTGTAGACCACCTGGTTGGGGACCACGAGATGATAGTAACCGATGGTTAGAGACCCTGAATGACATGGCTCAAAATCGTTTGCACTGGCTTAGGTGCATACACTCTTTGTGTTCTCCCAAATTTCAATCTCATGATTCCTCCTTGTCTCTTTTTTCGCTTCCCAAATTTATTTCACTGGATTATACTCTTTAAACAACATCTCCAAACGCTAATCTTTCCGATTACTGCTTATACTCTTGCTACATCTACCACTACGGGATTTGAATCGACAACTGCATCTCTGCGCTAATGTGGTGTGGCAACTCGAACTGATGTACGTACGTACGAAGTTCTACGTTGTGACTGACTGACTGACGTTTTGGCTGGTTGTATGCGTTTTACACTACTGATCAGCTACTTACTTTACTACGTACTTACATCTGTTACACCTCGTCGAGAAGCATAAACCACCATCAGCATTCTCCATCGAACTCTGTCTTGAATAATCCATACCAGTTGTTTCCAGTTACTACACATTCTTTTGATGTCTACCTCCAATACCCGAAGCAGTGTGTTCCTTGGTCTTCCTATTGTGGGACTCCAGTGCTTCCAGGTTTTACATGGTGGTCTAGCTTCAATCGACTCATGATCTCAACTATTGAACTTACTATAATATCCACAAAAACCCTTCTTACTTAATCCATTTATTCTCGATCATTAAGTATGAAGACAAAGAACAAAACATTTTAGTTCTTCAAAACTGATCCTCATGAATTTAATTAAGTACAAGAGCGGTATTTTGGTCACTTACGTAGATTCTTCGGGATTCTATACACTGTACAGAAGGATTCATCCATTTGGATCTAGTGTTCGCCGTTTACCAAATGCGAAAGAATAAAGACGTTAACAGATTCCATGATTTCTTTTCACAATCACAAAGACAACCCCATTTAAATATGGCCCATGTATGAATTAGACCGAATATCGTTTTCTTTTTAACCACTGAAAACGATTGAGACACGTTGACTATTAATAAATGAGCAAACATATACAGAAAAGTGAAAACAAGTATAACATATAGAGAAGTTATCCGAAACGGGAAAATTGCAGATAACGTACCATCGAAAGTGAAAAAGTTCAATTTTCACATTATGCTACTATAAAGTAGTTCATCACTTTATGAACGTTATTTTAAAATCTACGGACAATTTTAAATTTAAATGTTTAATGTCATTCAGCAGATGAATTACTACATTTACTTCCGCTTATTAAACTTCATGGACGAGCATGGAGAATAACCAGCATTCTCCATCGAACTCTGTCTTGAATAATCCATACCAGTTGTTTCCAGTTACTACATATTCTTTTGATGTCTACCTCCAATACCCGAAGCAGTGTGTTCCTTGGTCTTCCTCTTTTCCGTCTCCCTTCAGGATTCCAAGTTAGGGCATGCTTCGTAATGCAGTTTGGTGATTTCCACAATGTATGTCCCATCCACTTCCAGTGTCTTCTTAATTTCCTCTTTATCTGGAAGTTGGTTTGACCTCTGTCAGAGTAGGTCATTGCTGATAGTATCCGGTCAGCGGACATTGAGTATCTTGTGCCGACAATTGTTTATAAATACTCATACAGTTTTGACGATGGTTGCAGTAGCTCTCCAAGTTTCAGCTCCACACAGTAGACTTATCTCGACGTTCGTGTTAAAGATTGTGACTTTGATGTTGGTTTGCGGACTTCTGTGTTTTGAACTACTTGATATTTAAAAAAAACAGATGAAGTAGACCGATGGCGGTAGATAATTGAGGAACTATGAAATCTTTAAGATTAGGAATGAGTTGTGCAAGAATCCTATGCTTTTGGGGTCAATGTTTTTATTGTCGCTGTGGGTCTCCAGGAGTTGATATATATATATTATTTTGAGAATCTTATCTATAGTCAACACAGTTGGCAGTTCGTAGACATTCAAATATTTACACTTTAACGAAAGTCGACGCAATACGCAAGACTTGTATGTTTACCGAAATTCTGTAGACGATTAACCCATGCAAATCGGAAAGCAGACCATTCAATCTCAAGTGTTTTCTCCAAAAGTTGTAACACCCTTTCTTCCTCGTTCATATAGACTGTTTAAGGACCCTCAGTAAAACAATCAATCCCTAAAACGAGTCGAATATAGATAGCTGTCTCCATCAATACCCTCGCTAAAGCAGAATTAGGGATTGCGAACATTTCTGAAAAATATTAATAGTTGTTGCTGCTTGAGATAATGCATTTCTGTATGACTTTAAGGGACTAAATATCCCAATCCTAATAATGGAAAATGGAAATCCTCATTTTTAAATTTCTAGGTATTCTTTAGAAAATGGTGGTATCTCAAAGTATGTTATTATTCATATATTTTTGGTTCCTCATGTTTTATGCAACCGATACAAAATATATCTTGCTCCAAAATGTTACTTATCTGTCTGTTTTGTATCTACTTTTCTTAAGCTTAGTGTATTTTGGTCAGTTTCATATTCGTTTTTAAATGCATCGCCTTAAGCTAATGCTATGTTATGCTCATATCTTAAATTGTTCCCTCGATCCAAATTATTACAGTGGCAAAAGTGTCACAAACTTTTGAATATCTTCGAACATCATTTCCGCTCGTTCAACTATGCAGTACAGTATTTTTCGTTATGCTGTCAAAGCACCGTCAAAATATCTTTTTCATAGTTCTGTCTCTTGAATAAAATTGTATCATAAGCTCCATTCCTGTTTCTCAGTTGCTTGCTTTCTTTTACGGCACATTATTCCGGAAAATAGAGTAAATCGCCTCTTATCTAGCCATTTCTTATTTAATTTAGGAACTTCACTACGTTTATATTTAATGGATCAGTATCAAGTATATGACATAACATCCTTCCTCAAACCATTGGGATGCAATGAAATATATGTTGTCTTCTTTATTAAATCCATTGGTTTTAAAACCAGACGCTTTCATTCTGAAATAAGTGACAATTTTCAAATAAACCATAAGTCGTCATATTTTTTGTTAACACATAGTTGTAATCAGATCGCTAAACCTCATAGTGCTATTACTTGATTTAGTGAAGGTTATTTGTAAGCTGCTTCATTTTAATATTTGATAACATTATTCGCCAATTTAAGTATCCATTTGTTGAAGCACTACTGATTATATATATATCAACAATTTTTACTCACACTCCATAATGTATATTGGGATTCTCATTGAGATTGTGTATTAAATACTGTTACTAAAAACTCATTTTTTGAAATATGTTTGTTACTCAATTATGAAAGTTTACATGTAACGTGTCCATGTTTATTTTGTGTTTTCACGGCTCCATGTTTAGACAGAATCCATAATCATTTCTTCAGCTTCTAAATTAAAAAAGTTACGTGTTTCATGTATCCTAAGTTCGAAGATATTTTCGAGTTTTTGATATTGGATTTTTCTGTATTGTGAAATTTTGATTTTCATCGGTTTACCTAACAGCGATTTTCGAAACGAATTTACGAATCACTAGCTACGTATTTGTAAAGATTGAGCTACGTCTGTATTTGCATAAGGGCGTGTTTTAATGTATATTGCAGTTTCTAATGTTTCGTCCTCTGTTTTAATTTTTCTAGGAATATTCAGTTATTTGGCGAGGACGTCTTTCCCTGAAAAATGAAGAGGTTTTTGTTAATATGCATTATGTTAGTGGTAATCAAGATCTACTGAAAAGCTGTATGGGTGTTATAACAGAACAACAAGTAGCTCTTAGCAACATTGCTACAAGTTCTAGTTCGTTGGGGTCGTGTATGACAGGGGATTCTATTGGGCCTCCACACCAACCTTTAAAGATTGTTCAGCGGATGCGTTTAGAAGCTTCTCAACTTGAAGGGGTTCAGAGGAAATTGCGACAACTAAATGATTTTTGTATGTGCCTTACCTTAGCATCTGCTCCTCCACTAACACCTGATGCTTCATTGAATAATGAACAAATACGGATGAACAGAATACTGTGTGATGGATTTATCAAATACATGCTTGAAAAGGGTGCCGCTGGAATAATAAATGTTTGTCATCCATGCACTCAACAAGTAAGATAATTTATTGGTTACGTTTACTTCATGTGACTACTGACAGATATTCGATCGTATTTGTTTTATGAACTTTGATTACTTCTGTGATGATCTATTCGTAGCACGTATATTTTCTAATACATTAGAGCATCAAACATAGAAACTACACCAGGATTGCCATTAGCTTCTACTTTGATCCATATTTGATATTCTAAATGCATACATGTTGGTTTCCGTATTTGTTGGTACTTTTCTATGAATCTTAATTTGAGAGTTAGAATTTCAGTTCGTTATGAAACGATTTTTCAGTCTCATCAAAATATTTGTTTTAAAGATTATTTAAATTTATAAATTAAGGTTACAGAAAGCTATAGAGGGTTTAGCATAGATAGAGTCGATGTAATTGGTTGATGAATATGGTCGAACTAATATTGTTCTCGTTAAGCAATATGAGAGTGCCATAGACGAAATTATATATATATATATATATATATATATATATATATAAGAATGATCGGTCACTCAATATCAACCACAGAAGTAAGCTTTTGCTTATCTTATGCCATATTCTGACTTTAGTTTTTTTGGTGATTGCCCTAATTTTTGATAGAAAAGTCAGAAAATACCGTCGCCTGAAACTGACTTTTTTGATAAATATTTTTATTATCGAGAACGAAAATATTTATGTACTTTCAATTATTGGGTGTCGAATTCGAGCTCCAGTTCACATATTCCCGTTGAAACCTCTAGATAATGTCACTAGTCCTCACACCTTATTACACAAATCTGCTCTTGGTGAATAAGTTATTCCAGTACATCAAACTTTTATAAGTTTGATTGTAAATGACTACGTTTTTCGGTTCAAGGTATTTCTCAACAGAGTTAAGTAGAAATTTATATAAATTCACTTGGTAATGTTTGTTTGAATCTTCCCATTTATGTTTAGGACTTCAACTGACCAGTCTCTTACTGTCATATGTGCATACTGTGTGTATTGCCTCGATACAGCCTTAATTTACAAGCATTATATACAAAGATGGATAGTGGCTAGCAGTGGAATCCAGGACGCGCGTTTCGTCCTAGCCACTATCCATCTTTGCATATAACGCTTGTGAATTAAGGCTATATCGAGGCAATACGCACAGTATGCACATATGCCAACATGAGACTGATCAAATGCAGTTCTTAATAACAATGGGAACTTACAAGTAAACAACACTAAGTAATTTTAAACTTCACCCCATTGCACAAGCAAGTGGCTATCAGGACACAGTAGCTAAGTGGATAACGCGGTGGCGTGTGAGGCGAACGGTACTGGGTTCGAGTCCCAGAGTGGAGATCAACTCTGAGATTCAGGTACATCTAGCCGACGAGCCCAAATAGGACGAAACGTGGGTTCTGTTAGCCACTATCCATCTTTGCATAGAAATTTATATATTTGTTTTCATCAATTCATTACGGCATAATCATATTTTCATATAGCTTCATTTTCAACGATACTTCTACTCTTTGGGAATATAGCACAAACAGTGTTCCATTTTTAAGATGCAGCGATTGTTCACTAGACTTCAACATTTCTCTGTAACTGTTAATTATAATTTGTGCATTTTCTCGACTATAGTTTTTTTTCATCGTTTTTGTTTACATTCTAGAACTTGTATGTCATCCATATATTTCCTCCTTGTGAATTTTCACGTTGCCAGCTACAAGTATGTGCTCCTGCTCTTTATCACAGTTTAGCGGAAAATTCCATACCTCACGTATTAACTGTGATCACAACAGTATGACCGTGATGCATTTAACTCCCGATTTGTTTCCTCAGTTGGTTTTGAAATGTCCTTTTATCACTTTGTTCTATATTATGGACCAAGTTTAATTCCGATAAATGAACTAATCAACGGGTGTCTCAGTTAGTGCCTGTCTATCGAAATCTATATTTCTCTTCTCTCAGACCTTGTGGCAGCCAATAAACTTGAAGTAAATCCTTCTCTGAAGTTATTTGTTCCTTGGCATATTCATGTTATTATGTTTAGTCTGCCTGTTTCTTGGTTTGAGTAGCATAATGCAAATATTCTGCCCGAATTTTCGCCCGATAAGGATATGTTGTTCTAAATCATAATAAGGATAGATAAAATTTTAATCGCCTATCCAAAGTTACGCACTAACTGTGATTCTCTATTTTACTTGACCTTATTTTCAAAATGTCACTGATTGTATATATAATGTATATGTTTGTGTGTGTGTTCATGATCCCTTCACCTTATATGAGGCAGCTTAAACCAATAATTTTTGATATACTATGTATGTACATATCGATGTTTTCCACATATTGATTTGTTTTAAATGAACAAGCTTATGTATATATGTTCAGTGGCGTGACTAGTCAGATTGTTTTTAAATGATATGTTGATTCGGATAAAATGTTTTGCCTTGTTCCTTTTTAATGGTTGACAATTAAATATTAACTGATTTCTCTGAATATTATGTCTGTGTAAATACAGTTGATTTATGAGATGGGTAGTGTTAAGGATATTACGATTGCCGATCGATCTAACGAACAGAATTCATGTGTCCGTTGAGATGTATAAGATACTGAGTTTAGGCAATATAACAAAATATATTGAACATTTAGATTTCAATGCTTACTTACATATTTACGCCTGTTACCCCTCGTCGAGAAGCATAAACCACCATCAGCATTCTCCATCGAACTCTGTCTTGAATAATCCATACCAGTTGTTTCCAGTTACTACACATTCTTTTGATGTCTACCTCCAATACCCGAAGCAGTGTGTTCCTTGGTCTTCCTCTTTTCCGTCTCCCTTCAGGATTCCAAGTTAGGGCATGCTTCGTAATGCAGTTTGGTGATTTCCACAATGTATGTCCCATCCACTTCCAGTGTCTTCTTAATTTCCTCTTTATCTGGAAGTTGGTTTGACCTCTGTCAGAGTAGGTCATTGCTGATAGTATCCGGTCAGCGGACATTGAGTATCTTGTGCCGACAATTGTTTATAAATACTCATACAGTTTTGACGATGGTTGCAGTAGCTCTCCAAGTTTCAGCTCCACACAGTAGACTTATCTCGACGTTCGTGTTAAAGATTGTGACTTTGATGTTGGTTTGCAGACAGTTGTTTTGAGTTCCACATATTCTTCAGTTGTTAGGAGTGATGTACATGCTTTGCCAGTCCTTGACTTCATATATGCATCAGATCCTCCTTGTTCATTGATGATGCTGTTCAAATCGGTGCGTGAAGCGTTCCACCTCTTCCAGAGTTTCTCCATCAGTTGTGATTGGTTTGATGTTCTCTGTGTTGTATTTGAGGATTTTGGTTTTTCCCTTGTGTATGTTGAGGTCTACTGACGTAGAGGCTGCTGTCACACTGACTGTACTCACCTGCATTTGTTGGTGTGTGTGTGGGGGGGGACAGAAGAACCATGTCATTTGCGAATTCCGAATCGTCTAGTTGCATGTGAGCTGTCCACTGTGTTCCGTGCTTCCTCTGAGATGTCGAGGTCTTCATAATCCAGTCAACCATCAGAGGAAAGAGAAAGGGAGGAAGTAAGCAGCCTTGTTTGACTCCGGTCCTGACTTGTAATTGGTTTGTGAGCTGTCCTTCATACACAACTTTGCAGTGTAGTTCATCGTGTTAATTCCGTATGGTGTTGATGATTTTCCCTGGTACATTATAGTGTGGAAGAAGGTTCCATGAGGTTTTCCTATCCACCCTCGAATGATTTCTCATAATCAATGAAGTTGGTGTATAGTGACGAGTTCCATTCAATTGATTGTTCAACGATGATCCGTAATGTCTGTGCACTACCTATCCACACGGAATCCGGTCTATTGATCTCGAAGCTGGTCGTCTACTGAATCTTTCATCTGGTTCGGCAACACTGTTGAAAACGTTTCTTGGTACCGATACTAGTGTGATGCCTGTGCAGTTCTCACACTTGCTGAGATCTCCTTTCCTTGGTATCCTGATGAGATATCCTTCTTTCCAGTGTCTGTCTGTCTGTCTGTGTCTATCAGTATGTCGTCACTTGTTCCTCCTCCCAAATCCTCCTGAATGGAACATGGAACATGTTTGTGGTTACTTCAACGTGTGACTTGAATGATTCAGTTGGTAAATTGTCAGGTTCGACTGCTTCTGCTGCTGTTGATGTTTTCCCACAGTTGATTTGTTTGATGACCGATCATCCTGATTTCTTCGATCGTCGGTGGAGTGACAGTTGTAGGAATGTGTGTATGTGTTGCCTCGATGTTCGTTGTGTTCATTGAAGCTCGTCTATTCAGGACCTCCTCAACGTAGTTGTTAATAGGTTACTGGAATCCAAACAACAATCTGTGATTTAAACTTATTGTATCCCAGAAGCGTAGAACGTTCAATTCAGATCCTTCTGAATATCGAATATACTTGAAGGCTTCCTAACCTTCTACGAGCGGGCGAATTCCTATATAATCGCACTAAAGGGGTTCGTAATGATGTAACTGACTGTGGCGATTATTCGCTGCAGACAATTTGTGTTTATGATATGTGGTCTTGTACCGTAATGGAAGTTAAATAATTATAACTGGATGACAAGTAATGAGACGACGTTATCAGATATACAGATTAAAAATGTCGACAGTTAGGGACTGTCTTTGATAGGCCATTAATTTATTCTAAGCATAACTCTCTGAATACTTACAGAACAATGAAGGAATGTTTGTCTTTCAGCTATCCTTCTGTTACACAAAATACGGAACCACTTTTAGCAGAACACTGAAATTAGTTGTCAAAGTATCAGTGTAGGTGAGAAGGTAGTAAGAAGCCTAAAAGAAGACAAATAGGTTTGCTTTTGAGATAGCTATTCATGATAATTGGTACATAATGGACCCATCATAGACGAATCCTTGAATTTTCAATGTTGAGTTATGCCATGCAGAAGGCTTGATTATGCAATTCGTGCACATTACTTACTGAACTAAATTTTAGGAGCCTACTTGTTATATCAATGCGGAAACTGGAGTGGGTAACTTTATCGCTTCGCTGTATTCATCTACACAGCGACTGATTGCATCCTTGATTTCAATAAAGGATGATCACTAACGCCAATTAAATGTCTTCAATAAAGCCTATACGATAGATATTATTGTGTTAGAATTGGACAGGTTGGGTGTCTAGAGATTGAGAAGAATCATTTGGGATACAGGTCAGATAACTGTGATCGACTTGTGCAATTTTGTTCAGATCATAACATGTCCTCAGCACCAAAACTTGAAACTGTCATCTAGGTTCCTCCCTCTTTAAATAAAATCGAAACCCACATCACAGTCAGCTACCGTTGGTATGGATGTGTACTTATCTGAATTCTGATCATGACCTAGTTTACTCTAAAGTTATCTTTATTTTCGGAGGCCAGCAAACGTCTTATCTTGAATCGATTAATTTAAACGAATCGGTTTTCATTGTAACTAAACTGAGCTGTGTTCACTTTGGTCAATAAGTTTGATAATAGACGTAGGTTCCTTTGCAGGAAACTTTTCCTTAGTTTGCTTAAGGATCTAGAAACCTGGCGGTCAGAGTATACTAACGAGGTGGAAAAAGCAGTTGCTGTTTTAATTCATCTGGGCCACTGGAAGTGCAGTTTGAGTGAAACAATTTATAAAACCAATTAGTACCATCCAACGTCTTTTCAAAAGGTTGCCATAGTTTTTAAAGGAAAGTTCAACTAGCCTGTTTGCCCCACTAACATTGATAAGGCTGTTTAGTCCTGCCTCGCCATTGATTACCGACCCACCTAACGAAATGGAGGTCAGCAAGGAGTTTCGTGTTCTCAAGAGTCACAGGCTAACGGGCCTAAACGACATACCTTTAAGTCTTCTTAAAGATGTTGACGAGCTTTCGGACAGAAAGCTGAGTGGATAGTTTGAAAATGTTTTGGAAAAATAAAGCGTTTCAACAGCTATGAATGAAAACATCATCGTTTCAATATTTACAGATTCTTTGCAGTAACTATTGGAGGATAAGTCTACTGTCGATCACGTCCAAAATATCGGTTTCCGTCACTTTATTGATTATTCGGAACCTTTCGAAGGCTGACACGTGATGAGCGCGTTATCTGTAATCGTGTTGTAGATGTATTGGTCACATCACACTTCATCAAATTCCGAAACGTCAAATTTGCAAGCGAACTATCTTATGCTTCTTAATATCAGTTCTGCGATTTGTTGGATAGAACTGTACTTTTAGATTATCTGTCAAAGATGTGTGTGCCTGAGAAGTTTATCAACAGCTTCGGGGACCAGGAGTATTGAGGACTTACTTTCACCTCCCTCCTTTATTCCGTTTTAGCAGTGAGGTATTACAGATTTACCCGATCTCACAATTTCTTTATAACTTTGCCACAATGACATTCTGGAATACACTGAAAGTACGTATTAGTGATATGATAAAGACTACGGTCTTGAGTGTGTGGATGATGTTTTCTTACTGTATGATAATACAACCTATGCGAGTCACAGTTGGCAATTAGTGTTCTTAAGTATAACATGTGTTTTGCGCCTTTGAAGCGCAGAAATACTTGTATAAGATTGGCAGAAGCCTCTGCTGGGACTCATACTCTGTGATGAACCGTCCAAATTGTTTGGAAAGCTTGTGTATCCGTCGTTTTCTTAATTTTGGTGGTGCGGAAGACCAGTCTACTTATAATGAAAACCAGATCTAGGCGATTTTCGGCACCGTCGTGATGTGAGTCTAGTTGCAAAAGGTTTGCTCTACAGCATGTTCGTAATAGCAGTTTTATTGTATGCTGATGAGACCTGTCTTTTCTCAGTTGGTGGTGTTAAACGACTTTGGGTCTGATCACCGTCGTCTCTGGAGGACTATCAGAATTCAGTGGCAACACCATGTTAGTAATGTGGAGGTTTGACAGCGTTTTCGAGCACAGTGATAAATAAATTGTTGTCACCACCTTGTTACTGTAAACTCATAGAAAAGCCTTCCAAACATCAGAGATATTTTTTCAAAACGAATACTATTAAAAAGTTCCTTGGGAAATAATTAACTACCTAAGGCACTAGAGTGTAGGCCATCAGGTTGTTTTGATTAAAAAGTGCTTTTGCGAAATAGATCAATGAACGCTTGCACACTATAGGTTTATTACTTCCTAACTTAGAGTACTCGTCCTGGGAAATAGTCACTTTGGTAACTTTGTAGAATCAGCGTTATTAGATAATAATAATAATAGTAAGTAAATGAATGTTCTAGAGATCGAGAAGGAAAATTCAACTGAGAATAACATGGATATCACGGTTGAACATAAGTAAAAAATTCACATCTCCGTATCTGGTTTTAGTATCAAAACACAGACAGCAAATTTACGTTGACTTTTTGAATAAAGTAATCAGATATCAGCTAAAAGAAATTGATACGCAAAATAAATTATTACGCTACTGAATATTCGAAAATTTAGTCACTAAAACGATAAGACATAGATAACTCTAACACACTAAACACAAATTATA